GGGAAGATCGGGATGGGAGGTTGGATTTGAGGTGGATGTGGATTCTCCAGGAATGGGTGAGGGAGGCAGGAAAARATCTAAACTGGGAATTTTCCAGGATAACRAGTTTTTCCTGGTGTGATTCTCCAAGGAATGGGCAGAAAAAACTAACCCAGGATTTTTCCAAGATAATAGGTTTTTCCCGATGGTGATAATCCAGAAAATGGGCAGAAAAAGATTAAATCAGGATTTTTCCAGGATAATGAGTTTTTCCTGGTGATTCTCCTGGAAATGGGCAGGAAAAACCGAAACCAGGGTTTTTTCAGAATAACAACTTTTTCCCGGTGTGATCTTCTGGAAAATGGGCAGGAAAAAACTGAAACCAGGATTTTTCCAGGAGAATGAGTTTTTTCCAGATAACCAGATTTTCCTGGTGTGATTCTCTGAAAAATGGACAGGAAAAGAACTAAACCAGGATTTTTCCAGGATAACGAGTTTTTCCTGGTGATTCTCCAAGGAATGGGCATAAAAAAAAAACAAACCCAAGATTTTTCCAGGAGTTTCTCCCAGTGGCCTTAACCCAGACACTGCAGACCCTCCCAAACATTGGGAGTGCCGTGGCTGCTCCGGGGAATTTTCCCTTTTTCCGGAGCAATTTTCCATTCTCTTGGAGAATCCATTGATCCCAGCCCCGGGACGCGGAGCCTGGACCAGAGCCCAATTCCAGCCCTTTCCATCCCCTCCGCGCTCCCAAATCCTTCCCCTCATCCTTCATCCGTCACTTCCTGATGGTTTTGAATCTTCTGGGCTTCYGAGCTCCAGAGATTTTAATGGATTCTGGGAACAGCAAATGGGAACAGTGGGAAGGAGCTCGGGATCATCCGCATTTTTTCGGGAATGGGATTTTTCCTGGGATTTATGAGTAATGCAGGAAGGGAATGGGTTCCCATGCCCCTTTCCCCAAAATTCTTGGATTTGGAGACATCCTTTGGGGTGGGAACTATGGGATTTTTTCCCAATTATCTTCCTTTTTATTGTATTCCCAGCGGGAATCTGGGCCACAATTCCTACGGAGATATTTTCCCAAAAAACACCTGCTGGGTACCAAAAAAAGGCTGGAATTAGGAAAAAAAGTTGGAATTGGGATAAAAATTTGGAATTACGATACAAAGTTGGAATTGGGATAAAAAGTTGGAATTAGGACAAAACTCTGGAATTAGGATAAGAAGGCGTGAATTTGGATAAAAAGTTGGAATTGGGATAAAAAGTTGGAATTAGGGCCAAAGGCTGTCCTTGGATTGAGCTTCCCAGGATATCAGGCAAAATTCCCAATCCATGGGCACCACCTCCGCCATTCCCATTCCCACCTGGCAGCATCCCTATAAAAAATCCCAAAAATTCCTCTGGACACAYGAAGGATTCCAGGGTTTCTCCTCAAACCCAAAGAAAATTCGGGGAAAATCCTCAAAAACTTCCCCTCATTCCCATGGCCASAGATTTACAGCTCCCATCATTTTTCCTGTTTTTCTTTATCCCACACCTCTGGCCAGGGTGGAAACTCCTTTCCCATAAAATTCTCAGCCTGGGATAATAAATTGAAAGAGTTTTTTTTTTAGCGATGGATTTTTTTTCCTTTCCCGACACTTTTTGCTGATAAAAAAGCAGGAAAAGAGGGAATTGGGAATAATGGCAGAGTTTTGCCCAAGTGTTGGGTGGGGAAAGTGGGGATTCGTCCTYGAGAAATGTTGGATTTGGGGATTAAATCCCAAAATTTTCTTCTGCTCTTTATTTCTTCTGCTCCTCTTCTGGTTTATTTTGAAAAATGAGGATTTTAACTCTGAGCTGGTTTAGTCCCAAAATTCTCATTTTTCTCTTGATTTTTCCACTAAAATTTCTCCTCACAAGCAGGGAAGATAAATCCGGAGGTGTCGGGGGAGACAGGGAATAAAAGAGTCCTAAAAAAAGCCGTTTYCATTTAAAAATTGCAATTCCTGGCTGGAAAACTGAGCTGGTGATGGGAAATGTAGATTTTGTTTTTCATCTCAGTGGGGGGATCATAAATGCATGACTTCCAAACTGAAAAGTCCTGGGAACTGTGGATAAGTATGAAAACCATGATATAAAAATAAAAATAAAAATAAAAATAAAAACAAAAATAAAAATAAAAATAAAAATTAAAATTAAAATTTAAATACAGGCATAAATATAAATATAAATATAAATGTGAATATTATAGAAATATAAATATAGATATAAGTGTAGATATATATGAATGTGAATGTGAACGTGAATGTAAAAAATATAAATATAAATATAAATATAAATATAAATATAAATATAAATATAAATATAAATATAAATATAAATATAAATATAAATGTGCATATAAACGTACATATAAATTTAAATATACTTATAAATATAAAGGTAAGTATAATAATATTGAAACCATTCTAATTTAAATATTTGCATGCACTGAGCAAAAATATTATAATAAATGTYTTTACAGTATTTAATATAAATCAATTAAAATTTGAATATCTCCTAATGTCAATAAATATTAAAATATTAATAAACACATGAAAGCGCGAAAATTMATAGATTCAAAAACAAATAAATGCCTTCAAATACAAATAAATTTATTCCAATTCCAGGAATAAAACCCCTTTGAAACACCCCAAAAGGGGCGGCAAWTGCCCCAAACTGGGGACACTTTTTGCTCCCCGCAGGTCACTGACGGCGGCACCATCAAACAGAAGATCTTCACCTTCGACGCCATGTTCTCCACCAACCTGTCCCAGATGGAAAACTACCGCAAGCGGGAAGAGCTGGTTTACCAATCCACCGTGCGGTGAGTGCAGGCGGGTCACAGCTACTCCAGGGTTACTCACAGGATACTCAGGGGTTACTCACAGGATACTTGGGAGAGCCACAGGGTGCTCAGGATATTCAGGAGTTACTCACAGGATACTCAGAGGTTACTCACGGATACTCAGGAGAGAGAGGGTGCTCAGGATACTCCAGGATTACTCACAGGATACTCAGGAGAGCCACAGGGTGCTCAGGATACTCTGGGGTTACTCACAGGATACTCAGGAGAGCCACAGGGTGCTCAGGATACTCCGGGGTTACTCACAGGATACTCAGGAGAGCCACAGGGTGCTCAGAATATTCCGGGGTTACTCACGGGATACTCAGGAGAGACAGAGGGTGCTCAGGATACTCAGGAGTTACTCAGAGGATGCTGAGGATAGCCAGAGGATGCTCAGGATACTCAGGGGTTACTCAGAGGATACTCCGGGGTTACTCAGAGGATGCTCTGGCAAGGTTCAGGTGGGTCGGGAGATACTCCAGGATTACTCACAGAATACTCAGGAGAGCCAGAGGAAGCTCAAGATACTCCAGGGTTACTCAGAGGATGCTCAGGATACTCAGGGTTACTCAGAGCTGCTCCAGCGATGTTCAGGAGAAGCTCGGGATGCTCAGGGGATGTTCAGATGGGTCAGGACATACTCCAGGGTTACTCAGGGGATACTCAAGGGGTTCTCAGGCAATGAGCAGAGGTTGCTCTGGAGTTGCCTCAGGGATCCTCTGGAGATGCTCCGGAAATGCTCTGGAGCTGCTCAGAAGATGCTCCAGGGATGCTCAGGGGATGCTCAGGAGATGCTCTGGGAATGCTCTGGGATGCTCAGGAGATGCTCTGAAGATGCTCCAGGGATGCTGTAGGGGTTCTCCGGGGATGCTCTGGGGGTGCTCCGGGAATGCTCTGGGGATGCTCTGGGGATGCTCTGGAGATTCTCCAAGGATGCTCCAGGGATGCTCTGGAATGCTCAGGAGATGCTCAGGAGTTGCTCTGGGAATGCTCCAGAAATGCTTTGGGAATGCTCTGGAGATGTTCTGGGGATGGTCAGGAGGTGCTGCAGGAATGGTCCAGGATGCTCCAGGGATGCTCCAGGGATGCTCTGGAGATGCTCCAGGGATGCTCTGGAGATGCTCCAGGGATGCTCCGGGGATGCACAGGGGATGCTCTGGAGATGCTCAGGGGATGCTGCTGAGTTGCTCCATCCCTGGGAGCAGCATGAAAATCAGGGAATCGAACCGGATGAAAACATTCCCCGTGCATCCAGCAGGAATTCATGGCACATTCCCAATGGAGAGAGAGAGGGATCGGGAACATTCCTGGAGCAGGGGAAAAGGAATCAAACATTCCCTGGTCATGGAGTGAGGGATTGGGAACATTCACAGAGCAGGGAACAGGGATTCAAACATTTCCTGTACATGAAACAAAGGATCAGGAGAATCCCTGGAACAAGGAACAGGTAATCAAACATTCCCTGGGCATGGAGTGAGGGATTGGGAACATCCCTGGGTCAGGAGACAGGGATTCAAACCTTCCCTGTGGACTGAGAGGGGCTGGGAGCATTCCTGGAGCAGGGAAGAAGAAATCAAAYATTCCCTGGGAATGGAGTGATGGATCAGGAACTTGCCCGGAGCAGGGGACAGGAATTCAAACATCCCCTGTACACAGAACAAAGGA